AAAGCGATAGAAATCAAGAATGTGACTAATAAACACTAAAAAGGTGACAAATACTAAAAAAAAGTGACAAAAATTTAAAAAAAGTGGCTAACAACATTCTCTCTGGTAAGTCTATCCGCACTCATTAGGCATCAACGCATTATAGTCTTGGGCACAACATTTTTTATCCCCAAATGAGCCACAGCAACCACAGATCTCTTATGCAGCTGAGGAGTCCAAATAAGCCGTGGCCGTTTAATAGCTGATCAACTCATTGGAGCAGATTTTGACCTTCAATTGCATGAAAAACGTCAATTTCACTCTCCCATTTTGTTCTTGAGTCCAATCCCGAAATTGGTCCTTTTAATTTAGGAACTGATGCAATTGATGAATGAATCATTGTTATACCAACATTAATTGAAGGTTGGATGCTAGAATTGATGGGTTGAAGTCTTGTGGAGTCCTCAAATGACAGGGAATAGAGGGAACCCGTACATGAGCTGCCTTGCTTGATTTGTCTTTGTTGGTTCGAAATTGGATATTACCCATGGGTTCATTGGATGAGCCATGATGAGGCCGTGGCAGGGGTGGTGATCCGCAACCATGGGTTGCATCGAGGGCGCCGGAAATAATGATCGAAGGGTCCGAAGTTCAAAATTGGATATGACCCATGGGTTCAGTGGATACGCCATGATGAGGTGGTGGTGGTCCGCGACCATGTTGCATCGACGTCGCTGGAAATAATGATCGAAGGGTCTGAGTTAGTTGTGGAGAAAAAATTCTGCAAATCTGAATTTACAGTTTTGTTTGTTGTTATGAAGACATCTGTAGGTGCACCATGAAGAGATTGATCGACATGTAGGGTATTTATGACATGGGTGTTGCCGAAAGTCAATTTTTCGACTAGATTTTGGTGCGTGTTCAACTGATTTTGGTTCAAATTTTAGGCTGATTCTAGTAAGTTTGAAGCAAGATGTTGGGTGAGAATTGTAGAGGGTGATGAGAGCTTTCCAATGGTATGGTGATCCAGTGGTTTGGGTGGAGGTTGGCAGAGTTTTTGGGGTTCGAAAGAGGCAGCTCCATTTCCTGTGGCATTGAGAATTTTTGTTTTGATTTAGAACGTAATTAATATGGTTTTATGTGAGGTTTAATTAATTAAGAGTATTAATCCTATTGGGTTACTTTTTAGAGTATGAGGCCTAATTTTTCCCAAAAAAAACTAATTTAATTAATTAAACAATTTAAAAACTTAATTAATATAACCCCCAACACATGAACACGCGCGCACACAAAAACCCCAAAACAAAACGTGATTCAATTTCTAAAGACAACCCTCCTCAATCTATAGAAATTGTCCCAATTCCAAAAGAGAAACTTTGGAGTTTTTTTTCATCGTTTTCAATTAAGTCCATGTTTGACACACATTATTTCAAAATACATTTTTTTAAAACTCATTTTTAATCACACATTTTTCAATAAAAATAATATTTTTCATCACATCAATAACTTTTCCTTTTTTTTTAAACCACACATTCTCTATTAATCTATTATTCCAGAATACATTCTTCCAAAATAATATGGCTCAAACACACCCTAATACTTCTTAAAATAGTTTTTTTTCATCGTTTTCGATTAAGTCCATGTTTGACACACATTATTTCAAAATACATTTTTTTAAAACTCATTTTTAATCACACATTTTTTAATAAAATAATATTTTTCATCACATCAATAATTTTTCCTTACCTTTTAACCACATATTTCTCATCATATCACTATTTAAAATACATTCTTTTCTCAATAATGTCTATCAAACACCCCCTGAATATCATTGTTGAAATTTTCAACAAAAAACACTTCAATCAATTAATTGATGCTATAACATCGTCGTGCGCACTAAGTGATGCTGCTCTAACAGGCAGTAAGTTTGAAGGCTCACACGGAGGAATTGGGGATCAAAGTGGAGTGAAGCCCGAAATATTATTGAATATTTGCGATCTTCCATGCTTCTGTGTTTTGCACCATCCTTATATAATAAAGTAATTTGCATGGCAAACCTCATTCGACTTCTTTTAGTTGTGAAATGCTGCATCATATCTCGTTTTCAAATTTAGCTTCATGTTGTTCTACAGATGTAAATTCTTCGGTCCTGAGTACTTCAATTTGAAGTTGCAATTAGTCTCTAGGTTAAGTTAATTACTCTTGTGCTTGTGGTTTTGAGGTGTCTTCATTAGAAAATTATGTGATTAGAACTTAATTTTATTGTTGTGGATAATTATTTAATGGAAATTTATGTGTATTTTGGATGTGGGTTTTTGAGATTCGAGAATTTGAATATTTATTACTTGGAATAATGTATCATTATTGTATCATCAATGATGATCTTTTCTATATTTTCAAGTTCAATTAATAAAAAATTAAGACTTAGTTTTTCTAGATTTTTGGTAAATCTGTTCACATATTATTTTCCCTATAGATTTGAAGTAAAATTAAAATCTTTATGCATGTCATGGACCTGAAAATGAGTATATCACTGTTTAATAGTTTGATTTATTGGTGATCATATGGCATTCTATATTAAGCAGTATACGAGAACTCTTGCTTGGGTTTTGTTGTTACTTGATGCATGTTCCGTTGAGCAACTCGGCGAATTTTTACAATTTCATTTTATACAACTGTAAAAACGAACATAATTTGTCACTTTTTAAAACTTCTATAACTTTTTTAGTATTTATCCCTTTTTTTCCTATCATTTTCAACTTATTTGGTGTTGTGTTTATAAAATGAAGTTATATCCCATGCTTAATTAACAAAAGTGAAGCATAATTACAAAGAGACAACGTATAGAAGAAAATTAATCACCCTTGGATCTATTTTTAGGTTTTGATTTTTTTTCATTTTTTGAGTGTTTGTTGCTTTTTAAAAATTTCTGCACGTTTTTTTTTTTTCGTATTAATCAATTTTTGCATTTTTGTCACTTTTTGAATTTTAAAAAGCGACATTGTGCATCACTTTTTAGTTCGCCACTTTTACTAAAAAGGTGAAATTTTACGTCACTTTTTAATTGAAAGTTGACATAGATTGTTCTTAATTAAAAAGTTTCACTTTACTTCACACAATATTTTTTACTTCCAAAATATTTTTCACATGATTTTTTAAAAGACCCCTTAATTTAGGGGGTTATTTATATAAGTTGTCATTTTTCAAATTTTATGGGAAAGGACACAATAGCTTTTAACCCTGGCCTCCTCCAGCCAATGAAAGTAATAGGTAGGCTTTTAACGCTAGCCCCCCATTTGAGTTTTATCATTTTCTTTTAGTATTGGTCAATTTTTTTGAATTGTTTTCACTTTTTTTTTTTATTTTTTTGTCACTTTTTTGAAATTTTTGTTACTTCTTTATTGTTTGCTACTTTTTTAGAGTTTCTATTACTTTTTTAGTGACAAACATCACTTTTTAATAAAAGTATTGTTGTATAAAACTTTTCCTAACTACATAAAAGAGACACTTTTTTTCTGCCACTTGTCAAGCTCTCGCCTCCTCCCCAAAACGACGTCGTTGCCCACCGCCTTTCTTTCCTAATCCACCGCCTCCATCTCTTATCTTACCAAGCAAAACCAATCCATTTTTGTGCAACTCGCTTAGGGATTGAGCATATCCTCTCTATCTCCCTCTCCATCTCTCGCCCTCGCTTCTCACTCGTGACTCGACTTAACCCTAATTTCTCTCGCCCTCTCTCACGACAACCAACAGATCTCCACATCTGTCGCCGCCGGACAGATTCTCTGCCTGAAGCCTAATTGAGACATATACATGTAAGTATGATCTTTGGTGCTATGATTCCTTCCTCTTCTGCTGTTTTCCCGTTTCAGGTATGCACTACACCTCTTTCTCTCTGCTTGTGAGTGTGGATGTGAATGATTACATATCTTTATATTATTGCCTTGAAATTTTCGAACAGATCTCTCATTTTCTAATGCTTTCCCGTCTTTAACCCTAGCTACGTTCATTTTCCGTTTTCCACCACTCTCTGCGCCGCTCGCCGCACCAACGTCACCACGCCGCCAAGTAAGTTATCTCCATCCAGGTACGGAGACACGCCCGAGCCTGACAACAAAAGATTTTATACATACACACTTCCATATACATTCACACAAACACCTGTAATCTGCACCCACCACACTTTCATTTCGTTTTTCTCTGGTTTCCAGATGATCTCCTACCTTTGATTTTTCTCTGATGCATTCAGTTATTTTTGAGGTTCTATTGATAGTGATTTACTTAATTGATCTGATAATTTTTGCTCTCAAAAGAGGGTTTTTTGGGTTCGGATTCTACCTCCCTGCGGTTTCTACACTATTCCCATGTCTAAAGTATTTGATTATCGAGGTATGATTCTGAATCTTGGCTTTACTGCTTTTCATTTATGAAGTATGATTTAATAGTGTTTTTTTTTTTAAAATCTTGTGATATTCTTGGCATATATAAGTACAAAAATCCATAAAAAAAAAAAAAAAAAAAAACTGGAATTGTGAGGTGATATGAATTTTTTGTGGGTTTTGCTTAAAGTTTGTGTATTTACCTATACGTGCCTTTGATTTCGTTGAATCCGGTAATTTTTCATGGAATATTTGCATCTGTATGTTTGTGTATATATTCATGAAATTCTTTAATTAAAGTTGTATAATCTCAAAAGTTCAATGGATTTTTCTTGAAGTTCATATATTTATGGGGCTTCTTTGTTATAAATGTTATGATTTTCGTTAGAACATGTATGTTGACATATCTCAAATCTTTTAATATATGTGCACAAATGGGTATATATACATCTATGCACAATCCCTAAGATCACAGTATTCTGATCTCAAATCTATTGTGGGATTTGCTTGAAGATTTTGTCCATCTCATTTTTTGGGAATATGCATTCATGTGTGCAGATCTCAAATCTATTGTGGGTTTTGCTTGAAGATTTTGTCCATCGCATTTTTTGGGAATATGCATTCATGTGTGCTTCCATGTTAATTGCTAAAGGAATTGGATAACGGTAATATAAAATTATACACATATAATGCACAGATCATATCTGGATTTTGCTTCAAGTTTATGTCTTGAGCTGGATATACCTTTTCCTTTCGAAGCAAATTTTCTTTCAGCACACAACTCTAAAATCTTTTGTGCTTATTGATAAAGTGTGAATTAAATGGATGCATAAAACTACCAAGTTATATCTTCATATATTATTTTTCCTCTATAAACTACACAGGGATACTTTATAGGCTCTGTATTAACTATATATATGCTGAACTAAGAAGGTAGCATATTTTTTCATGCTCGACATTAGATCTAAATCTATAATGCTTCATCATATTTTAAATTTATTAGATATATAGTAGTGAATTGGCGGACATTCTTTTACGCATCACTGATTTCAGGCGCTGGTGATTTTACCACTGGGGGTTTCCTATTCCCAAATCCCAAGGATTCGAGTCTTGTTTTTCCCCTTGGTCATCATGTGGATATGTATTTTCCTCCTCGAAAGAGATCTCGTGTCAGTGCCCCATTTGTTGTCTGCTGGGAGCAGAAGCGGAAGCAGAAGTCATCTATTGAAGTTCTTCCTGATGAATGTCTCTTTGAGGTGTTCAGACGTCTTCCAGGGGGCCAAGAGAGGAGTGCATGTGCCTGTGTCTCCAAGCGCTGGCTCATGCTTTTAAGTAGCATCCGAAGGGATGAACTATGCACCGTTAAAATCACTCAATCTGTCGAGCCTGAGAAGAGTAGGAACCCTAAGAAGGAAGATAAGCCTACTGAGTCGGGGCAGAAGGGTGGATACACTGATTCAAATGAAATTATGGTTGAAGCTGAGGAAGATCGAGAGACGGTGGCCAGTGGATATCTTTCGAGATGCCTAGAAGGGAAAAAAGCTACAGATGTGAGACTTGCTGCAATTTCTGTTGGAATGGGAAGCCGTGGAGGATTAGGCAAGCTGTCCATTCGAGGAACGACCTCCATTCGAGGAGTGACAAACCTTGGCCTCAAGGCCATTGCTCGTGGTTGCCCTTCTTTAAAAACTCTTTCTTTGTGGAACATATCATCAATTGATGATGAAGGCTTGTTTGAGATTGCAAATGGATGTCATCTGCTGGAGAAGCTCGACCTTCGTCAATGCTCAACAATTACCGACAAAAGTTTGCTTGCTATTGCAAAAAATTGTCCTAATCTGAGCTCGGTTACTGTGGAATCTTGTTTGAACATTGGGAATGAAAGCCTGCAAGCTCTGGGTCGTTTTTGCCCCAACTTGAAGTCCATTGCAGTTAAAAACTGCCCACTTGTTGGGGATCAAGGAATTGCAAATATGCTTTCGTCTGCTGGTCGTGTCTTGACAAAGGTTAAGCTTCAGGCACTCAATATCACTGACGTGTCTCTTGCTCTGATTGGATACTATGGACATGAAGTGACTGAACTAAGACTCTCCGGCCTCCAAAATGTGAACGAGAGGGGATTCTGGGCCATGGGTAGTGGACAAGGTTTGCAGAAGCTGAAATCATTTGCAGTTGCTGCTTGCAGAGGAGTGTCCGATGTAGGGCTTGAATCCATTGGCAAAGGTTGCCCAAACCTAAAGCAGACTTCCCTCCAAAAGTGCCCACTCATATCAGACAAAGGATTAGCCTCCTTTGCGAAAACTGCGTGGTTGCTTGAAAGTCTACAATTAGAGGAATGCCACAGGATTACCCAGTTTGGATTTTTTGGTGTTCTTGGAAATAGTAGGAAACTGAAGGCTCTTGTTATGACAAACTGCTTGGGAATTAGGGACACAGGTTTTGAATTTCCATCTATGTCTCTTTGTGATTCGTTGCGATATTTGACCATCCGTAACTGCCCCGGTTTTGGTAATGCTAGCTTGGCCATAGTGGGAAGACTGTGCCCCAAACTGTTACATTTGAATCTTGTGGGGCTTTGGGGAATAACTGATGAGGGGCTTTTACCCCTTGTTCGGAACTCTGAAGATGGTTTTAAGAAGGTAAATCTGAGTGGATGTGTCAGTTTGACAGACAATGTGGTTCAGACCATTGTTAAGATGCATGGGAGCACTCTCGAGCTTCTGAATCTTGATGGCTGCAGAAGCATCACTGATGCTAGCTTGGTGGAAATTGCAAACAGTTGCTTGTTGCTGAGTGAACTTGATGTCTCCATGTGTGCAATAACTGATTCCGGGATAGCAGCCTTGGCTGGTGCAGTGCACCTCAGTTTGCAGATACTTTCCCTCTCGGGTTGCTCATTGGTCTCCGACGAAAGCTTAGCTTCCTTGAGGATTTTGGGTCAGACCTTAGTCAGTTTGAACATCCAGCACTGTCATGGTATCAGCCTTGGCACTGTTGATTCACTTGTGGAGTGGCTTTGGAGTTGCGATATACTTTTTTAAACAAGTATCCGATTTGAAGAATCCTAATCACAGATGAGGAGTAAATCAATAATCTCGACTTGTTCAGTAAAACATCCTGGTAATAGCAGTAGGGAGCGTAGTTTTTGGGTCTATACCATGGGTCTTTGTGAGGTTTAGTATCCCGGTTGATTTTTTCCGGCAAAGTGTGGCCAGCAACTCTTTTTTTGCAGCTTTTTTTCCCCATAGCAAAGCTGTTTCAAGAATTTTGGCTTCGATCATTGGAGCCATTTTTCTTCATGGTCATGCTTCGCCGAGAACAAAGATTTGGGTTCTGGATCTTTAGATTCTTTCAAGTGGTCCTAGTTTCTGTTATTAGCTTCTGCATGTCGCCTTTTTTGGGTCTCTCAACTCTGAATTTTACCAAGTCCTCAACATTGCCGAATGCTTTTGTTTTAGTACCTGGAGCTTGTGTCTGTTTCTTAAGTGTCAATTCCCTGTATCATGGTTGCTTTTGGCATTTCTAGGTTTGTAACCTTGCTTTTGTGGGTGTTGGGCATGGCAGCAACTTCTTTTGTCTGCCATGACAACCTTGTCTCCTCCGGAGTGGTGGTTTTTTCTTCCCAAGCCCTAGTTTTGCAGGTTCCCTAGTCATGAATCGTCCTGTGCAACCTGTTTGTGATGTCATACACTTATGTAACCGTATGATTTAATGTCTATGAATAAAATCTACTTCTAAGGAACTTTATTTGTTAACATCTTGCATGCTGTTGACTATGGGTTTGCTTAGATTTTTAGATGAATGCCTACATATTCAAAAGAAAATGGAATGATGTTTGCATTGGAGGATGCACTATATAATCTTGGTATGATTAATTCACGAGTTCTTGTTGTAATTCCCCCACTTTCTGGGGGATTGGTTAGGCCTGGAAGTGACTCCTGTTCAACAAGAGTACTACGTGTGTCTCCTCTCTCTCTCTCTCTCTCTCATACAGACAGTTCGCAATTAGTGTGTGCATGCGTGTGTGAGAGAGAGAGAGATGGTATAGAATGCGGCCATATAAGGGAGGGAGCCAAGCATGAGGATTTCTTTAGCTTCAAATGTAGATTTTATTGTTCACGTGAGCTTTCAGGTATGGAAGGCTTACTAGTTGCAGAGCGAAAATGGATTTTGCTTTGAGCAAGTTTCTAGAGCTGGCTGGGTGAGTCTTGGATTTGTATTTTCTTTTGCATTATTCTATGTTCTTGAAATGCTGAAATAATGAAGCATTATGGGCTCTCTGTGACTCGGGATTCCAATCCGGTTATGTGTAGAGCCATGCTTTCGCTACCATGCTCACAGCTTATGGAAATACATATATTTAGATATACTAAGTGGAAATACCTGAATCTAATGCAGTAGCTACATAGATCTTATAGCTTTAGAATCTCGATGTTGTCATGATAAATTTAATGGGGTGTTTTGTGTGCATCACTGTCCAGTACTCTACAAGATTATGGAATAAAATATAGTTAAAAATCTTGTCCAAGTTTCCAAACGTTGCAATGCTAAATTTTATTTCCTGTGTACTTCCATGGGAATTTTGACATGCTTGATTGTACCATACAGAAGAAGATAATGGAATAAATAAAAACACGATCACATCTGGTCAAGCTTACCTTGTGTCGTCTAGTACTGTGTACCAAATGTTATATTGGAACTCTTATGGCGTGTGAAATCTTATAGCTTTAGAATTTTGATGATGTACTTTTATGGGAATTTTGGCGTGCTTGATTATAATGTACTGCACAGGATTATGAAATAAAAACATGTTCAAATCTGGTCCTAGTCTTATTTGTCCATTATTGCGTACCAAATTCTGTCATGCCAACTTTTATGGCATGTGAATAGCTTTAGAATTTCAATGTTTTGGGATGTTTGTCGTGGTTGATTGCATATTATTAGGACAAGATCATGGAATAAAAAAAAGTTAAAATCTAGTCAGTCTCATCTGGTATTGTTAAGTAATGCTCACCAAATGTTTTCACTCTTATTTATGGCACCTTCTCTTGGATGTTTGGCTTGTTTCATTGCACATTGATAAACAAGATTATGTGATAAAAGAGAGTTCAAATTTTGTCGTAGTCTGGGATTGCCCTCTACGGTGTACCAAAGGTTGTAATGCTAGCTTTTATGGCATGCAAGATCTCGTAGCTTTAGAATTTCAATGATGTTGCCTTATGCGATTTTCGTCTTGCTGGATTGATCTACACTTGACAAGATTACGGACAAGAAGTTAACATCTCATAATTGTAGTGTTGTAGATGAGTTGGAGGAAGCTATTTCTTCCAACCCCCCTTTTTACAGATAATCCAGTGTAAGTTGTCATATCTGGTGTTGTCTCTCCCCAACCCCAAAAATTAAATCAGTGAAACATCTCTGTTAAAGTTTGTGTGGTTTACAAGATACTTTGTAGTTTTTTGCTGTATCCAAGAGATACATGTATATAAAAGTAGTTATATTTACATTAGCACGTGTATGTTTCCCATTCCCAATGATGCAAACTAATCTTGATTCACAAAAATCCATGCACTAGTATTTACTATTTAGTTTTTTTTCCTGGCATTGGGAGACTACACATTGCACCACAATCTTGAAGCAATAATGCTAAGTGTACATTCTATGATGCATGATTTCGTGGACATCACCCATGTTTTCAAAAAATTGTAGGTGGGATTTTGTTTTTTTTAAATAAAAAAACCGTCTAATGGTGTGCTGTTGTATGACACAATATAAATAATGATGTACATATAACATGATTGATCTTGAAATAGAAGTGAGATTTCAAAAAAATAGTATGGTATGATTTATGAGAGTTGGATTGCACTTGAGTAGGTTGAAAACAGTATCTATCTAGATGAAAACTGGAGAGGGCCCGGACGACAACCAGGTGCACGGGACAATTTTGTGACGCTGGAAGACTTGACAAGATCTGTTCGGCCACGCCAAGATTACGGCTATTGTTCCAGCAATTGTTTTTCGCTCCTTTTTTTTTATCCATTTATAAAAGTCTGTCTGACCGTTCACGACATATTTTGACCCCTCTATTTTAGACATGCAAACTCCAACTGCTACGATGTTTATAGTCGGGTTTACATTTAGGTGAGCATCAACTTCACCTAATAATTCATTATCCATACTTCGATACCAAGTCATTACCAACTTTTGAAAGATACTTTACACTGAGTGTAGTTATAAACAGTTTTCGCACGCACGAACATACACATTGTTTTTTAAATCAAATTCCAGTCTGTAATTATGCAACTGCACATCAAAGTAGCCTTGAAAGGTAACTTCACCAGATTCTAAACCCAGAATATATTTACTCAAAAGATCAATTGCACACGAACATGGACAAAATAGTCCTAAAAACTTTTCATAGTACTTAGCTTGTCTGAAAGGGACTGTTCCTCTGCTACGAATAGATTTTTGAGATAAGGGGTAAATTGAGGCTTAAAACTGTAGCTATGTTCTTCATATGATTATTTTGAGTATCGAATTGATTATATAATTTAATTACAATTTTAAAGAGTGCTAATGAAAATATCTGTCAATAAATTAATTAAAAAAAAAAAAAAAGATACCAACAAAAGCTCATGGAATCGATATATTTTACCAGTCTTTCAGTAAAATGAAATTGCATACAAACAAAATAACTTCCTTTTGCCCAAGAATTTTACCATATGTAGAAAGGTAACTTTTGACATTTAAAATCCGAACGATAGAGCCGGATCGCCTTTTTCCTATATCTCAAGAGTAACATATACGTAGAGTAGCCCGAGCCTTTTTTATACTCTTTATCAACCCTTTATTTAATCGATGTGAGATTTTGTTCATCCTCTAATGAAGTATGAAGTAAGTATAGGTTCCTTCATCTTCCTCAAATCATAAAGGATTAATTAATAAACGATGTGTGGTCCCTAAATCTTCGTCTTGAGAGTTAACCACAAATATTTTTTCCATTGCAATCCAACTCGAGGTGCACCACCTTTTTCCCACTGCAACTCGGGATTCGTCTGGTGCATCCACATGTCTAGGTTTGGAGGTTAGCTCTTAATCCAGATCGTGTGTGGTCAAAATTTACCTAATTCATTCCTGCAAATAAACCTGTTGCAAGGACTGTTATGACACAGATTTTAAAGGCAACGTCCTAGTGTCTTTACTGCAGTTCTCTTGCACGTACATAATTTTAACATGAACAGCAGAAAGGTAAATTCCCAAAGAGATAATTCAGCTGTATCAGAAAACTCATCAGCCTTTTTTCCCACTTTAAACTCGATTCTGATTCCTGAACTAACCTTTTTTCTGTATATGCAATTCTCATCTACAAAAGACAAGTTGCAAGTTTCTAGGGTTCATATATAGCTTACTACAGTTTTCTCATAATCTCTATATACTTGCACAGAGTCTATTCTGCAAGAGAAGTAAGGAATTCCCATTAAAGGTTTGATGATTATGGATTCATCAACTAACTACTTTATAATGCTGAAACGTGCATTGAACGTTGGACTGATTGTCTTTTGCTTCATATGTTTGCTTTCTGTAACAGGTAAGAAGATTTACAACCATTTTACCTAATAATTTCATTTTACTTTTATCCTTCTCTATGCTGTTTGACTTCAACACTTTCACTTCCATTTTGCCCCAATTAAAGTTTCATTTATCATCATCTTGTCATATGCTACGATAATTGAACTGTCATGCAATTATCGATTAGACTATCTTAGATAATTTTTACATGCCTATGTGCACCTAGTATTCATACACGAGCCAGTAGGTGACGCCCCGTCGAGCCCGTGATGCACCAAGTAGTAACTTTTTACGACATTACAAACGCCTTATTTTCGTGTTTAGAGAGATTGTGACTTGTATGTTATATGATGTGAACAGTGTTGACAGTTGATGTTGAGGTTTTCAAGCAAGGGAGTCACGAGTTTGAAGCAAGAAAGACGATGATAGGTTCAAGACCTCCAAGATGTTCGAACAGGTGCTTGAATTGTAA